AACATATTTGCCATTAGCAGAGACATGAACTCAAATTATTAGTCAAAAATGACTTTGGAAATGGTTGTTGTCTTTTAAAGTTTTGCATAGAAAACTTATTTGTGGTAACAGTTAAACCTGAAAGGTCACTCCAGTGTCCTCAAAGCTATCTACACTTCATTCAGTAAGGGAAGGGAATAAGCTTCCTAATGTATATTTCTACTAAAGCATAAAATTACTTCTGTCCCCCAAAATTAACTCCTATAAATTAAACCCACATGTAATGTCAGAGAAGAAACTATTTTTTAAGGGTAAGTGATTGAATTTAGTGTAATTTAAACCAAGTATTGCTTATAGTAATCTGAATGGACTTAAATCTAATCCAATTTTGTATTAAAAATGAACAGGTAAAAAGGTTTCTATAAAAGGAAAATATTTGAAATTAAAATAGTAACTAGAGTCTTAATAGATTTTTGTACTAGTGAATTAAAATAATAAATCTCCTTGTTCCATTTAAAATTGCCGCAATTTAAATACCAACTGAAGAGGTGTTTCTGAAATTGTAAACATAACTTATTGGTGGGATCTGACCAGCATTTCCACTTAATGAAAGAGCAAAGAGTACCCATCACATTTATGGGTAAGATTATTTTGCAAAAGACTTGTTACTATTATGTGTGCATGTGGGCTGGGGAAATTCATGTTAAATTCCTTTCTTTCTGTGTGTCACAATGGAAACCTGTAGGAAAACCACTAGCTTAAGGCTTTAGGAATTACAGTCATCTCTTAAAAGGGTTTTTAGGAGAATAAGATTGAATGCCTATGGTTTTCTAATTACTAAATTACCAGGGCTCCAGTAGGGTGAGGAGCATTGAGAAAAAAGTCACAAACTCTGTTTGAAATAGGAATTTCATCGCAAAGGAACAAAATAAGAGCCCCGTCTTTACAAACAGGATCTAACAACACAAGAGGACCAGCTGAAACATGACAAAACTGGGTTACTGCATCTACATTGAGTCAGCTGAAATGGCCCCACAGTAGGAGTGATTAGAGCCAAAGAGGCAAGAATCCACTTGGCTTTCAGCTTGAACCACAAAGGGAAGTCCTAGATTTTCTCCAAACTTTCTTGTCACCTCCCAGCCTCAACCTTTTCTTCTGCTTCGCCGATGAGTGGGATGCAGAGTAATAAGTGCTATGAAAATATCACATGTCTACTTTTCAGAGTGCTTTTGTATGTTTCATAAATATATACATATATATGATCACATTTGAAATTAACAAATCTCTATTAGAGAAAGCAGGAGATATCAATCACACTCACTGATGACACAGAAACAGCAGAGTTCTTGGCACTGACTGTGTTATTGCTCATCCTGAATTTTTCCAACTCCTCTCCAAACAGCTTCTGTTCCCAATACAGCTAATAACCATTTAGTGATATCTCACAGAGAGAACAACCTGCCACAAAATGACTGCAAGTCCAATCCTATTCAATGGAATGCCTAATAATACAATCCTATTCAATGGAATGTCTGATAATACAATGTCATGAAAAGAAAGAAAACCTAGTTTAGATAAAGAAATTTGAATTCAATTAAATACCACCTGACATTATTGTGGACATAATGTAGACATTAATAGACTGATGAAGAAAAACTATATGATAATCTTTATAAATTCATGAAGTACTTGAAATTTAATATGCCTTTATCATTTTTATAAAAAATAACTTCTCCCAAATTAGGACTAAGAAAATTTTCTCAACTGATAATAAGAATCTAAAAAAACCTGCAGTTATCTTAATGATAAAAGTGAGTGCTTTTCTCCAAGGATCTTCACTCCCAATCACCAGCATATTGGCAGTCTTAGCCAACACAAAAAGGCAAGAAAAAGAAGTAAAATATATACAGATCAGAATATGAATCATAAAATTGTCTATACTCACTGATAAAATGTCTGTGCATAAAGAAATGTTAGAGAATCTTTTAAAAAGCCACTAGAACTAATATCAGCTATTTTGGCAAGCATGTAGTGTGTAATGTCAATATACAAAATTAATTTTATTTTCATAGCAGTTAACATTTAGAAATTGAGATATTAAAAATACCATTCACAATAGCATTCAAAACATTACATACTGAGAGATAAATTCATTTGAATTACTTATAACATCTATTCTCTGATAACTATAAAATACCACCAAGAGTAACTATGGACAACTAAATTAATGGAAAAACATACTATGTTCATGGATCAAAAGATTTAATATAGGTATTCTCGCTAAATAATCTGCATATTCATAAGCTCAATCTAATAAAAAATCTGCCTATTTGTAAAAATTATCAAGCTAGTTCTAAAATTTAAATAGATATGCAAAGGACAGAACAATCAGATTAATTTTGAAAAAGAACAATGTTGAGGAGATCACACAACCTGATTTTAATACTTACTGTAAAGTTACAAAAATGAAGAAAGTTTAAGAGAGTCCTACGTATGGATTCATAGAACACTTGAAAAGAGACAAGAAATACACCCATATATATATATGGTTACTTTATTTAAAATAAAAGTTTCAAAGTAATGGAAAAGATAGATTTTCCAGCAGATGATGTTAGAACAACTTCATAGCCATATGGACAAAATGAAACTATCTGAATGTCCCATTAAAACAAATATTAAGTTGAATCTGACTATAGATCTCAATATAAAGGCTGAAATGCTAAATTTTCTAAAAGATAAGGTAAAAGAAAATATTTATGACCTTTGGAGAAAGACATCTCAGTCAGGATATGAAATGACACATAATAATATTTTAAAAAACTAAATAGACTTCATCTAACTTTAATCTTTTACAAAGAACACCTTCAAGAAAACAAATGACTGCCTATAGAGTGGGAGAAAATAGTCATAATATACATATCTGGTAAAGGACTTGTATTCAGAATATATAAAGAACTCTTAAATTCAACTATAAAAAGATAACCCAATTTTTTTTAACATGCAAGTGATTTGACATTTTATAAAGGAAGATACACAAATGTCCAATGTGCACATGAAAAATAATTGAACATCATTAGTTGTCAGAAAAATGCAAATGAAAACCACAATGAAATGCCACTACATAATTACTTGAATGGATTAAAGTTAAATAGAGTGATTATACCAAGTGTTCACAAAAATATGGGCCAACTGGAACTATCATACATTTCTGTTGAGGTTGTGAAATGATACAAGCAATTTGAAAACTACTTGGGAGATTATACTTTTAAGATAAATATACACTTATAACCCTGAAATTCTACTCTTATTTCCTTAATAGAAAATAAAACATGTATCCAAAGACTTATGCAGAAATATTCATAGCAGCTTTGTTAATAATGCCCCCCCCCAACCAATTGAAACATCCTGAATACCCTTTAGTAAGTGAATGGGTAAAAAACAAAAAGCCAAAATAAAAACAAAATAAATCATAGTACATCCACACAATAGGAAATTACCCAGCAGTAAAAAAGAAACAAACTATGAATATACCCAACAAGAATAAATCTTAAGAAATGTATTGAGTGAAAGAAGACAAATGTGAAATAACATCTTCCATAAGATTCCTTTTATGTGAAACTCTAGAAAAAATAAATCTAATCTACTATAATAGAAAACAGGCCCTTGTGAAAGTGGGTATTAACTGAGAACATTTGAGGTAATAGAAATGAGATGGTGGCTACATTGGTGTATGTAAAAATTCATCACATTGTTTCCATAACATGTGTACATTACATTATATGTACATTATACCTCAATAAAATTGATTTTTTACAAAACGACTGCTTCCAAACTGGACTTGAGGGTGAAACAATGGCTTCTCAGTAATTTAAGCAGAGCTTATGGTAGAACTTATATTCTAGCTGTACTAAATTCCTTTTCTGATTATATATCAAAAAGCCTCTTATTTTATACTAGTATGTCTTTAATACCTTTTTCTTTGCTCTTTAAACAAAAGGAATATTCAAAATACTGAACTGGAATGCAGGTATATTTGTTTATCCACATATTCTTTTACTTACAGCAGACTGGTTTTTCATTTGTAATAGTGAAGTCAAGTTTCTAAATAAATGTTCTTCAGTTAAAAAAAAAGTGAGATAAAGGAACAGTAAACTTATCTTTTTAAATATTAGATTCAATATACTATAGTGGAATATTGATATGGTGATATATATAAACCTAAAATTGGATAACCATAACTTAAAATGTTAATTTGTAAGGAAGATTATATATTTGTATGCAGACATTAACATTATCTACAAACATTGAATTATTGCTATATGAATAAATGTTGAAGAAAATTCACTGACATTTTCATTTGATAAATTGGTTCTTAATTTGAATTATTTGCTCCTTAATATCCCCCAAAGTTTTAGATTGCAAATTACTGATGAAAGGCAAGATTAAGATTTTTTTCAGGATCTTGTAAATTAGGATAAAATACCATGAAGTTGAGGAAAAGGCAGGGATATATCTGAACAATAATGAAGGGTCATACTCCAGTTTGCCTTTGTCTTTTTGCCATTGAATGCACTTGAGTGTGGGCAGATGGAGAAGATATGCAGAAGGTATCCATGTAAAAAAGGTTCTGTGTCTGTAAACATTCACAATCTACTATTTTCAGTTTTGCTCTTTTCTTTCTTTTTATTCCTGGCATACATTTCAATTTCTTTAAGGCAATTCATTATAAAAAAAGACAGTTCATAAAAAATAACATTTCACTTTAGACTCATTGATCACTTCAAAAAATACAAATCATGTGGACAAATTACTTCAAAAATGTTATGCTGTCATCAATGTCTTGACAGCCCTGTGCAATTAGAAATACTTAACTTCAGGTAGACGCTAGATCATTTTACCAGTAAAAAAAAAAAAGTAAAACAGATTTTCTTATTTAAAGAAACAAAAGCTTGATTTGCATCATGCTTATAATTTCCCAAGAGTAAAATTAAATCTGGAATCAACAAAGATAAACCTCTTACCTGTTGGAAGGTGCAGTGTTATGTTGTTGCAAAAATCTGTGAAGCAGCATTCAGTTTTGGTAACATTGTTGGAACTATGACAGAAGACTTGAGCATTTAGCTCTGGGAGTGAGACACAGGACTTGATCACCTGTTCCTTTCCATTGGTTAGCATAACTGAAGCCCAACATGCTCCTTCTGTTTGGCAGGTGAAGTTTGAAGAGTCACACAAAAGACATACACACTTCAGACCTAGAAAGTATAAGACAAAAAGCTTTAAGATTAACGAATCATGCAAATTTATTTCATAATTTTTAAGTATAGAAATACAATCCTAATGAAAACCAAGGGAATTTTTAAATAAACAGCACTGGATAAGCACATGCTAATGTGGATACTGCCTCACAGTCATGTGTTTTATTAAAATTTTTGCTTATATTTTTGTGAATTTACTGTTACTACTATATTTTAAAACAACTTTCTCATCTATGGTCATATTCCTCCTTTTTAAGCTCTAGCTGTTTATTCCCAAAACAATAGCTCCTATAAAATAATGTATGCACAGCAACAAGGTGCGCTGTCCAGCATCACTTGCAGGACTTTAATATGTGATTATAGCAAATGTGTTCTGTTTGTTTACCCTTTTTTTTTTTTAAAGATTTATTTATTTCTGCATACAAGAACTGGGGTACAGGCCAGAGGTGTAGAGGGTGAGAGGATTCACCAGAGACAGCGTGGGGAACAGAACAGGCAGATTGACTAAAAACACTGCTGAGGGGAGCAGCAGGCGAGCCAGGAGAGGTCTGCTGTGCCATGTGGGTTGCTCCCTGGCCAGGGACCGAACTTGTGCTGCAGTGGCTGTGGATAGCTTCATAGGTTGTGTCTTAACCCCCTGAGCCACAAGGGAGGCACCTATTTACCCTTTCTCTTTTTTTTTTTTTTTTAATCTTAAATTTTATTTTTATATTCCCCCATACAATTGCAAACGCCCCATTCTGACCCCAATCCTTCCCCTCCCGCCCCCCACCCCCCAAAAAGTGTCTCTGGTTCATAGTTTTTTGTTGATTTTGATTTTCACTTTCTTATATTCATTTTCCTGGTCCCTTATTTAAGTTTTCTAGATTCCTGCTATGAGTGAGACCATCCGGTATTTTTCTTTTTCTTTTTGGCTTATTTCGCTGAGCATGATCCCTTCCAGCGCCATCCATGTTGCTGCAAATTGCATGTGTTTATCTTTTTTGAATGCTGAATAATATTCCATGGTGTATATGTGTCACATCTTCTTGATCCAGTCATCTATTTTTGGGCATTTGGGCTGTTTCCAAAGCTTAGCTATTGTAAACAGTGCTGCTATAAACATAGGGGTGCAGGTGCTCTTTGGAATTGATGTTTCTGTGTCCTTTGGGTAAATACCTAGGAGTGGAATTGCTGGATCATATGGAAGCTCTATGTTTAGTAGGTCCAGAAATCTCCACACAGCTCTCCATAGTGGTTGGACCAGTTTGCACTCCCACCAACAGTGCAGGAGAGTTCCTTTTTCTCCACACCCTCGCCAACATTTGTTGTTGCTAGTTTTTTTAATATGTGCCATTCTCACTGGTGTGAGATGGTATCTCATGGTAGTTTTGATTTGCATTTCCCTGATTACAAGTGATGTTGAACATTTTTTCATATGTCTGTTGGCCATTTGCATTTCCTCTTCAGAGAAGTTTCTTTTTAGCTCTTCTGCCCATTTTTTGACTGGATTATTTTCTTTGTTGTTGCTGAGTCTCATCAGCTCTTTGCAGATTTTTGTGATCAGTCCTTTATCATTAGTGTTGGGTGCAAAAATGTTCTCCCAGTTGGTGGGGTTTCTCTTTGTTTTTGTTATTGTCTCTTTTGCTGTGCAGAAGCTCTTTAATTTGATGTAGTCCCAGCTGTTTATCTTTGTCTTCACTATCACTGCTTTGGGTGATGTGTCTGTAAAGATGTCTTTGATGTGCAAATCCCGTAGTGTTTCGCCTATATTTCCTTCTATGTATTTTATGGTTTCAGGTCTTATGTCTAGTTCTTTAATCCATTTTGAGTTGATTTTTGTGTATGGTGTGAGGTAGTGGTCAAGCTTCATTCTTTTGCATGTAGCGACCCAGTTTTCCCAGCACCATTTATTGAACAAACTTTCTTTGCTCCAATGCATAGTCTTTGCTCCTTTGTCAAAGATTAGTTGACCATAAATCTGAGTATTTACCCTTTCTCTTAAACTTTTAAGTGAATATGATAAACACCACTGTAACCATAGACATTTACAGCTCTAAAAATGTGTGGTTATTTATATTTCTATTCTGTGATGTCTTAACATTGTTGTTATTGCTATAGTACTTTCAAGCATTGATGAGTCATAGTTCCCCCTTCTAGCTCAAGAATACATCTTAATAAGAGTACTAGAACAGAGACCATGACCTTCAGGCAGTTTTCTTTAATGAGCACATCTATTCTATAAAGCAAAAACACACATCAATAAAAGAATTTGATATGTCTACATCAACAGAACTTTCAAAATTAGACTTTGCCAAATTAATCTGTTTACCTAGTTTTCTCAACATTCCCTCGGTATTATACACCCCCCCATTATTAACTCTGTTAGCACAAAGAGTCCAGTGATTGTGAGTAATCTATTCAAATTGTATTTTAGTTATATGGTTTTCAAATAGTACAGTGTTAAATAAGTGCTTTGTATCACTTAATGAATTTTTGTTACATTATAACTGTCTTCCATTATTATTGCTAATGACTTAAAATGGAGCTAATTTTATACTCGTAAAATATTTGATACATAAATTATTATTTTTATACTGAACTTCAAATACCAATAGAAGAACAAACATGGATAATATTCATATGTAACTGTATGTGTTCTTTTTTTTTTTTTTTTTTTAAAGATTTATTTATTTATTTATTTATTTATACAAGCACTGGGTACAGTCAGAAGTGCGGGAGGGTGAGAGAATTCACCAGAGCCAGAGCGGGGAGCAGAGCAGGCAGAAGGACCGAAGTACACTGCTGAGGGGAGCAGCGGGCGGCAGGAGAGGTCTGCTCGCCATGTGGGACCCTCCTCCAGTGGCCGGGGAGCAGCCGGGGATCGAGCCGGCACTGCAGAGGCTGCGGGCAGCTTCACAACCCAGCGCTCAACCGCTGCGCCACCTGGGAGGCCCCTGTATGTGTTCTTAAGAACAAATTACATGCTGTCCAACAGAACTTATCTCTTCATTTGACTAATTTTTCTTGATTGGTAAAATAACATCCCTATAAACATTTTTATTACTATGTGCTAAGGGAAATACAGTCATAAAATAAAATACTATTTTATTATCTACATTGGACCAAACATAATAGCTCACTCTTCTATTTATTCCAGTGATGATCAATATAAGTAAATAAATGCTTTTGTTCATATTTATATACTATCAAAAACCCTTATAATCTAGTTTGATTAAGATTCAATAAAGCTAGATATATAGTATCCAGGTAGTTTAAAAATATCTTGTCACTTTTCTTGTGTGAAAGATAGCTCATAGACTGAGTATTCATCCCACCCAGTCTTCTGATAGTGGAATCGCCCCTCTAGCATCTTCCAATTTCAATCTAACAAATGTCTTTAAACCCTGGTTATACTAGTTTTGTGATGTTGGGCATTACTTGACTACTCTGTGATTTCATTTCCCTATGTGAAAGATAGGAAGAATATACCTCTTCATAATGGTATTGTGGGACAAAATTAGTTGGTCTATGAAAATCCTTAGAATATTTCTGGTACACAGGAAATGCTATGTATACATTAATGACTATGTCTTCTCATACTGGAAGAGGTAAAGGTAGTTGTCTTATACAAATAATCAGAATGTGTTTGTAATCCATAGGGATGTGCACAGACCATTTAGAAGGCATAACAGAAAAATAGATTTCTTTCTGTTTTGCCAAGAGTGAATTGAATGCTCTCATTCCTTCAATGGTCCAGGTCAGACTCTAGACAGTCACACAGCAGGGTGGCACCTGGCAATGATTCAGAAAAAGAACTGAGGAAAAGACAAAAATGTCCCAGTCCTAGCTCTGTCACTAATTTGCTGATTGACTTTGGAAAAGATATTTAACCCTAAAAGGTTTCAGTGCCTTTTCCTGAAAATGGGAAATGAACTGGAATAGGGCAGTAGGTCCAGAAAGTGCCATTCAGTACCAATATTTTATGATTGCATAAATTCACGATTTATGGAAATTTAAAATTGTAAAACATGGAAAATCCGTTGACAATTAAGAAACTTAATCCACAGGGGTTATTCTTTACCCTCATAATTTAAAAAGCTGTGGCTGGGAGCAGTAACTTTACTGAAACACAATCTCAAACCATTTATTACTAGGCTCCTCATCAAAGTCTCCTCAAATTTCCTATTTCTGAGAGAAAAATAGCCTGGAAATCAAGGCAGGCAACTAAGAAATATGAATGTACTGAGTGACAATAACCATAAAGTACTCAACACTTAAACATATTTTAGTTTCACATGCATTTATCAGCGAATATAATTCCCAGGGCAACAGTGGAAGTTGGCTATCACTATCTCCATTTTATAGATAATGAAAAGAGGCTCAAAATGATCAAGTGACTGAATTAATGTGGCAGTTGTTAGACTACTCAAGCTAATATGCTAGCATAAAAAGACAAATACAGAAACTGTTCTCCCACCTCATCAGTATCTAGCAATAGTGTATAAAATACAGTTACAATACAATAGAAAGAAATTAATTAGCAGTGAACAGTTGAGGTTTTGATTTGCAGTGTTCTAATTACCTTTTTAAAATATTTTTAAAAGATTTATTTATGGATACAATGGCTTGGGGACAGTCCAGACGTGCGGTGGGGGGGGGGTGAGAGGATTCACCAGAGACAGAGTGGGGAAAAGAACAGGCAAACTGACTGAAATATACTGCTGAGGGAGCAGCAGGCAAGTCAGGAGAGGTCTGCTGCACCATGTGGGTTGCTCCTTGGCCAGCTGGGGATCAAACTCGTGCTTCAGAGGCTGTGGATTGCTTCATAGTTCGGTGCTTAACCCCTTGTGCCACCAGGGAGGCCCTGTCCTAAATAGCTTTTAAAACACAGTTGAAATATTAATTATGTTTTTCTATTGAGGTATAATTGGTATATAACATATTAGTTTCAAGTGTATAAAATGATTATTTAACTTTTTTACATATTGAGAAATAATCACAATAATTACAGTTAG